ACAACATAGAGTGTTGCACCAGTTAGTGGATGACTAAGGATATCAGTATATTGTTAGATATTGAGACATCTATCAAACTGAGTCCAAGCACAGTGAATTTGGTGTCTTTATTTTTGTTTAAAAGCGGAAAGTTTGACGGTGCTTTGAGTGTAGTTTAGAACATCATTTCTTTATCAAGTTATCAGGTGGTCACAACTACGTAATAGGTACAAAAGGTTTTAGGCTTAGACTGGCTATTTGTGACTGTTCCAGACAATGTGAAAGATGTTGCCAGATATTCAGAGGGTAAAAATACAAGCACACAAATGTTATACATGCAGAAATAACGAATAAAAATAGAATGTTAATACCTTGGGGATATTCAGAAAAACATGTGCCTGGTTGATCTGAAATAACTGGCATTTAGCCGTCAGTTTCATTCACGGTTCACATGCTTTTCCCAAGAGAAGCAAATAAATTGATTAGATATGGCTAGATAATGTAGCTGCTTAGTTCTACGTGTTCAGGACTGAGTGGAGTCTATCTATTCAGTCCCCCAAAACAACACCAGTTTCCATATGTTTGCTTACACGCCAAATCGATGAGTGCCAACAAGCCCGAAACAAAACTACAGGACTTTATGTCAACTGGCTCCCAAAATTTCACACAATAGAAACTAATAGACTTATTTGAGATGCTTCACGATCTTCAGCAATTAAACTTTCATCTGTAACTTAGATCTAGACAATCACTTAGAAGTTACTCAATGGTTATGAAAATCAAAACTAGTTTCTTCTTAAAATGCAAAGGCAAAGTAGAATAAGTAGTTTTTGTCATTTGTTCTCATGAACCGGACCCCAGAAGTATGCGTGAAAACTTTTAGTTCCAATGAAGGGTAGACACAAGTGAGTCAACAAATGCATGAGTCTACAAATTAAAGCCCAAACCATGCTTTCCAAGGAAGTATATACGTGCCCTTTTCTCGACCACAGGTTTAAAATTGTGACATTTAAATTATTGTTTCACTTGTCTTGTAATTTTTCAGAAGCGAAGAAATTAACCGATTATTGAGCAGCATTTCCCATTTTGTCTTTCGTTTTTTCCTTTCGAGTCACCAACTACCAGAAATTTTTAAAAATTTCATCTTTGAAATGGTGGAGAATATTCGTAACTCAGATGGATTCTCTTTGTTACTTAATACTCCCATAGTTGCCCTCAAGATCTATCTTTACTGCTCTGTTGACTTCACTCTTTCACAGTAAATTCCTTTGGAACTGTCTGTTCTTTGAATTTACAAGTGAAAAGCTGTGGAAATGTCATAGGAAAGACACTTTGTTTTACTGTGACCGTTTTTTAATGCTCCTCCCATAACTAAATGGAGGATACTTCGCCATTGCTATTAATTTTGTGATATAGAAAGAGATTTTTCCTAATTCTACAGTTCATTCTGATATTTTGGAGATATATCAGAATCTAAAAACAAGAGTATGTCACCTCTAAGCTTGTTTACTCTTTATGGGTAACATAAATGTTGTTGAGGCGGAGTGGTGCATTGTGGGGATTTGAGATCTTCAATAGTATCCATGAACAGTGGTTATAATTGGATTTAAATAACAAGTGACTTTGTTTCTGGCATAACCTACAGGCTTTATACCCACTAAAAGTCTGAAAATATTTTTGACCTATAGCATAGGTGTGTAACTTTTCTTAGGTATAGTTTGTCTTGGTAGTAAACTAAGACGTCATTCGCTTCATACTTCCGGATCCCCTATATCACTTTATTCTGCAAATAGCGCTATGTTTGGCCTTTTCAAATATCACTTGTTAACTGCGTTGCAGGATACGGTTGCAAAATCACGTTTGGTGCTCATTTAGGTTCATCTGAAGTGAACCAGGCTAGAATAATGGATACCGGATTAGCTAGAATTAACTAGTTCTTAAGTCTTCTTAGTTTTTCCGTCTATGGGAAGGTTGAAATTGTCGACTAGTTGTATTTTGCTACGTACTCTGATTATCACTTTATAAACTAATTTCATTTATGGCTAAAATGTTGAACAGAAAATAAGATATTTTGCGTAGCTAGAGAAATAAATTATGCATACAGAAAAAGCTACTGAGCATGAGTATTTTTCATGAATCACTGACTTCCCTAGACAAATATGATATTGTGTTTATTAAACTTTGCACACAGATACATAGATTACTTTCCAGTGTAGTGAAATGAGATTGTAAATGTTAGATTGGAATACTTATATTCGCATACAGTTTATTCCTTCACGGAAAACTGTTGATAGACGCCATTTTCTTTTGGTCCTCCAAATCACTAGTACCAGTTAGTTACTGAAATCTTTCAGTAAGAAGAACATGATATACAGAGTTTATCATCAACATAAAAAGTTGCGTTTCCAACAGCAGATTTCCATTACATTAAATGCACTCAACTATAAATGATCCAAAATGCTAGTAAGTAGGCAACTATGAAGCGAAAGAAAATAGTGGGTACAGTGAAAGATTTCCCACTGCTGAAATGTATTGCGGAATAACTTACAGTTGAAAATGACTCAGGCTGATTTGTAGATGTTTCTGACCAAATCAAAGTGTAAACGATTTATACATTGACAATCCTATTATTTATTACCAACTTCAATCAACTGTGATAGTAGATTACAGACGTATGAATGAACTTATTTCTAGCAAGGATCATTCACCAGTCGATTGTTAGTACTAATGCCCTTTTCCGAAGAAAAAACATTATTTGTAACTTAAATGTACACTTTTAATTCGTGGACAACACTGCTGTACGGATGAATTCGTTCCACTTTCCTAGTCATCCACTTGAATATTGCCTAATTATTTGTAGGAACACTCTAGGGACATTCATCTCGATGATTATTGTGGTGTATAACTTCCAGATTCAAACTTAATTAAGACGGATGAACGTTTTTATTCATGAATTATTTGATAGCATTGGATTTAAGCCAAAAGTCTTGTTCAGCAAGATTATTCTGTCAAACAGTGGCAACAAACAGAATCGCGGAAATCTAAGTCTCAGCATATCCATTTCTTCACTTGCGAGCGTGTAGCCCTTCAAAGTTATATGCAACCAAATATATAGTAATTGAGATGAAGAGACTTCTTACTGATGTCAGCTACAAAGAAAGAAGCAGTCTTGGAGTTTGCGATAACCATAGCACTATATTTGGAGACATAAGATGTTCAGGAGCGATCATTTCAATTAAATTACTCTAATGGTGCCTAATAAACTACGGGTATTTGATCAAGCCTCAATTTAGAGTCAGAAAACTGGCTGTTTCAAAGTCGTTGATGTGTATCAAGTGTACGTGGTAGGAAAGCCAAATCATGAATCGAGTTTCTTCAGATGGTTGTGCTTAGATATGAGATGTTTGATATGCGTGGAGAAAATCACTCAAAATTTATCCAGCAATAGGAATCATATAACAAGTGATAAATATCATTCCCCTTGGAGGTTTATAGAACTGATTAGCTTCGTAGCACTATTCGTTATCAACTGACATTAATTAGCTGATTTGTTAGGTTCTCGCTGTGAGACTTGATGGTCTTTGATTCAATCCTCGTTGAGGTTATGGGTGCATACTGCTGAGAAACTCCGGATTAGAATGAAGCATCTGTTCAATACTCCAAAATTTGGGATGGTTCTCCTACTAATGCCAGTCCATGGTGAATACTACCTTGAAATCGTTTTTCTGCTCGCATGCTTCTTGGACTGTTGTTGCACACATACATTACTGATAGTATCTTTCAATACAATTAACCAGTTTTGTTCTAAATTTATTAATTTCACAGAAAGAAAAAGGACCAATAAGTTATCAACTTATGTCAAAAGGAACAGAAAAAGTTCTTCAGCGAAAGAGATTACAACCTGAAACGTCTTAGTCAACCGTCCTATGGTTATTTACATAGGCTGTGTCAAGTTGTTCTGAGTTATGACTAGGTCAGATGTGTCAGAAAACAAATGCAAAAGCACATCTTTACAGACTTATTTAGGAATGTTCGGTCAGTAGTTATTGCTCTGAAGTTTGGTTACTTACCGAAGATTTGAGGTCAAAATGACTGTTCCACAAAAATGAAACTACTTCCTGTATAAAGCAAAGCATTATTTAGAGCACTTCTTTGATTAAGCAGGCAATAAACTTTAGGTTGGTATTTATCATGAACTGGTATTGATGGGAGAAACATAGGGAACCCAGGAACATTGGATGGTGGTTACGTCTCAGCAGAAGACTTCTCAGAAGTGTGCACTTATGACCCAGCCGAGGAGTGAACCAAAAATTCTCAGGTTCCACCTCCAGCAAGTTACCATTGAGCCATTAAATCGGAAGCCAGTGATCCATACGCCATCGACTTCATGCTGTCACAGGTATGTAGGGCTGAGGAGTCCCACACTGGGGACGAAACAGTTATGCAGCACTCCCAAGTTTCTGATATTTCTCCAACTGATTTCAATCCATGATGAATACCAACCCTAAATCAATAGATAAATTCTCACAGCTATCTAAATCGAACTCATAAATTTTTATTATTACACTGCAACGTAAAACAGCTGAATATTGTTGTTTCCTCACCTAAGATTTTCGGCAGGTGCGTTGTTGTTGACGTGATGGAATTCCATCTGTCTCCAATATCTTTGTGGCTGACGATCATGATGAAACGTTAGAAGATAAGATTTTCCTCAGTTGCGATTTTTGTTTGTATTACTTATCGATTTTGGAAGGGTTAACATTCACTATCTGAAGGATCTCAGCAAGTATTCCTGACCTTAGGCCTAATACCTACTGAAAACTGATAGTAAGGCATCATGAAGAAATCTGTACTACCTGCATTTATAAACCCCGTATGTGTGACACCTGCAGTTGAAAACGTTAATCTTAAGTTAGTTCTAAAGATGTATTCACTTGAAGTAAACGTTAATAGAGAGAGAGAGAGCAGTGACACTTTTTTATGATAACAAACAGCTACTACTATAGTAATCTAAAACTTACGGATAGAACTGTGTAGTGAAGTCAGGAAATTTGGCAATATTCTGTTTATCATTCGAATCAAGCTGTCCACTTGGTATATGATACCAGTCTTCATTGGATAACATTTGACGGTGATCATGATATAATTTGGGCTTCTTCCCGTGAAAATCAATTTCTTTACTGACAACTGACGATGATGATGATGATGGTATTGAAGCAGCTGCTGAACTTGATTCTAATTTATAATAAAATTTACTTGGTAAGCCAGGGACCAGATTACGGAAACTGTTTTGGGAAGACATCAAAAAAAATGAAAATTAAGGCATTAAGTTCATTTAGTATATGAAATAGTTTTAATTTATTGCATAAACGTAAATAACCTCGCCTGGTTAACTAGTTTACTAGTTACTAGCCGGTCCTAAGCCCGGGTAAAGAGGGAAGGTTGGGCATAGGGCTAGCAACCCTACCCCGTAAAACAAATCTAACCGCTAAAGAAACTTCAAAGCACAAACAAAATATAAAAAATGAAAACAAACTTATTCCCCGCTGGAATCGGAGAGGCGAAATGACGCCAGTTGGTGAAAGCCTTCGGGAAGCCAATTGGCCGATGTGTCTTCTCTCGATGAAAGCGAAAGTAAACGTGGGGACATGGAATGTCCGCACGATGTTTGAACCCAGTAAGGCAGCCCAGATTGCAAGGGAGATGAGAAGGTATAACATCGAAGTGCTTGGGATTTGCGAAAGCAGATGGAATGGGAGTGGACTCTCCAAACTGTCAACTGGAGAATCAATAATCTACTCCGGTCACCCAGACGCCAACCACGAGCACACTGAGGGAGTGGCTATCATGATGTCCTCAAGAGCATCGAAGGCTCTCATGCAGTGGGAACCAATCTCCTCCAGGATCATGACAGCAAGATTCAACTCAAAAGGAAGAAAGGTCACAATCATACAATGTTATGCACCTACAAATAATGCAGAGCAAGAGAAAAAGGAGGAATTCTACAGACAACTTCAATCAACACTGGACAAGACGTCAGTTGGCGATATCAAAATTCTGATGGGCGACATGAATGCCAAACTGGGAGGGGACAACACGGGAAGAGAACTAACCATGGGTCGAGAGGCACTAGGTGAAATGAATGAGAATGGAGAATTGTTTGCAGAATTCTGCGCATTCAACGATTTGGTGATTGGAGGCAGTGTGTTCAGGCACAAAGATATCCACAAAGCGACATGGATTTCACCAGATGGACACACTAAAAATCAAATCGACTTTATCTCAATCTCAAGAAAATGGAGACGCAGTCTACTTAACACAAGGTCAAGAAGAGGAGCAGATGTAGGTTCAGACCACTACCTAGTGCAAGGAACCTTCCAAATCAAGTTAAAAGCCTTCAAGGAAGCTGGTGATAGACCTCAACCCAAGTACAACACTCGGAAACTGAAGGATGAAACTACAAAGGAGATCTTCAAGGCAGCCATCAAGACAAAATGGGAGACATCGAGCAACATCCCTGAAGAAACCTGTGTGGAAGAACACTGGAAGTCTTTGAAAGCTATGTGGAAAGAAACCTGCACAACAGTATTAGGAAGGAAGAAGAAAGAAGACAAGGAATGGATCTCGACGGATACCTGGAAGCTGATAGAGGAGAGGAGGATGGTGAAGCAGAAGATAAACCAGTGCAAGGATGCTCAACGACAAGAGGAACTGAGCACAATGTATAAAACACTGGACAAAGAAGTGAAGAAGAGTGCACGCAAAGACAAAAGACACTTCTACGAAACACTGGCAAGTGAAGCAGAACAGGCTGCAGGTAAGAGAGACCTGACGACATTGTATCAAATAACCAGGTTGCTATCAGGGAAGAGACCAACACAGATGAAACCAATAAAAGATGAAGAAGGAAATTTAATTACAAAAGAAGAGAAACAGAGGAAACGATGGGCCGACCACTTCAAGAAGCTCTTGAATCGACCACCACCTGCACTTCGTCCAGAAATACCACCTGCAGCCGCTGAACTACAAGTGAACATTAATCCCCCAACGAAAATGGAAGTCCTGAACGCCATAAAGCTACTGAAATGCGGGAAAGCAGCAGGACCAGATGGAATACCGCCAGAAGCACTGAAAACAGATGCAGAGACAACAGCGGCCATGCTCACACCACTATTGCAGAAGGTGTGGAAGGAAGAGAAGGTACCTGACGATTGGAAGAAGGGTTACCTTGTCAAACTGCCGAAGAAGGGAGACCTCAGTGCTTGCAAGAACTGGCGCGGAATCACTCTCCTGTCCACCCCAAGTAAAATATTAAGCCGCATCATCCTGGAGAGGCTAAAGGATGCACTGGATTCAAAACTACGACCGGAACAGGCAGGCTTCAGGAAGTACAAATCATGTGCAGACCAAATTGCAACGCTTCGTATCATCATAGAACAGAGCATAGAATGGCAATCACCTCTCCACCTCAACTTCATCGACTTTGAGAAGGCCTTTGACAGCGTCGACCGAGAAGTAATTTGGAAACTGCTTCAATACTACGGAGTACCGCAAACCTTTATCCGCCTCATTCAACAACTATATGAAGATGCCACATGCCAAGTAATCCACAATGGGAAGCTCAGTGATGCCTTTGAAGTGAAGACAGGAGTGAAACAAGGTTGCCTACTATCCCCCATGATATTCCTTATTGTGGTGGACTGGATCATGCAGCAAACAGTAGGCAGCGAGAAGAGGGGGATACACTGGACGACGGAAAAGAACCTAGAAGACTTGGATTTCGCCGATGACTTATGCCTAATGTCACATAAACTTGAAGATCTGCAGGCAAAAACTAACAAGTTGATAGAAGAGGCAGCGAAGACGGGACTTCAGGTGAATATAGAGAAGACAGAAGTGATGAAGATACCGCACCACCACCATCAACAACAACAACAACAAACTCCAATCACTGTCAACGGGAGAAACTTAAAGGAAGTAACCTCCTTCACTTATCTAGGAAGCACTGTTTCAACTACAGGCGGGACGGACGAGGACGTCAAAGTCAGAATCGGAAAAGCAAGACAGGCGTTCATTAGCCTGAAACCAGTGTGGAGATCTTCTGCACTCAGCATGCGGAACAAGATACGGATTTTCAACACCAACGTCAAGTCAGTGCTCTTGTATGGCTCAGAGACTTGGCGCGTCACGAAAGGTATTTCCAATAAACTACAGACATTCATCAACAACTGCTTACGCTCGCTGCTGAAGATCAGATGGCCAGAAAAAATAAGCAACAAGGAACTCTGGGAACGAACCAACCAAGAACCTATCACGCAACAAATATGCAGGAAGAAGTGGAGATGGATTGGCCATGCACTGAGAAGGCCGACTGAGGACATCACGCGTCAGGCCCTCGAGTGGAATCCCCATGGGAAGCGACGAGTTGGACGTCCGAGGGTGACATGGAGGAGGTCGTGCGAGCAGGAAATGAGAGCTTGTGGGCTGTCGTGGGACCAGGTTCAAAAGATCTCAGAGAACAGAGGTCACTGGAGGCGTGCTACTGAAGCCCTATGTTCCACTAGGAACCCAAGGGACTAATAATAATAATAATAATAATAAACGTAAATCATAACGGGACATATAAAACCATATAGTAGTTCATGAAATCATTTTGTTTGTTTTTCTTTGGCTGGATAGTATTGATCAAAGTTAGAACAAATATTCATTGTTACATTTGACTATCATTACTATAAGTAATACAGAAAAGTAACAACTTTCGTGATAGATTTTTACTATATCTATCCGTTGCTTTTAAACAGTAAAAACTATGTCGTTTTGTTCATATTGCATAAAACATCAAAGGCAGAACCTTTTCACTGATAATCATTAGAACTCTGAATGTTTCATTTTTGTACAAAAGCGACGTGCTCATGCTCAACATACCCAGCTAGCATGTATTTAACTTTGGATTGGCCTTATTCGAGTTAAACTGGTGCACTTAGAGTCATTCAGCCAGTCAATTAATATCAGTACAGAACCAAGCATTAATGTAAAACGGTCTTAGTCATTACATCTCATATTAGTACAACAGGTGACAAAGCAGTAACATGAAAGATGAAGAAATAGAATAAAACAAGAAGGAAGTAGTAGAAAGCGATAAAACAGAGGAACGGGGCATAAGAAAACACTGAATTCAGTATGGCGTTTAAAATGAAGTTAAGTGCATATATCCTGGCGCCACTGATATAGATTCTGAGCTGTCACCTAAAATATCGCACCACTGGTTTCTTTTGTCACCTGGACTCTAGCTGGGAAGTTTACATTTTCCTACATGGCTCAAACCAACAATCGAAGGCTTCACGCAGTGATGCCATATTTTAGTCTGGTCACCCTCAACCCTTTTTGCCACTTGAAGCTACTTTAGACGACATTGTGCAAGAAGGCAAACAGTGATTTGGCAGGCACTACACATGCCCAAACCACTTGATTCATTGAAAATCCGTGACTTTATCAACTAACTTTCCACTCTTCCCTGAAACCCAACACCCAGATTCTGCGTCACTGACGTGCTGACAACAAGAAACACGGCCTGTGCTATGGAGGTGACGGTGATCAAACACCAGAAGCTTTCTCAAGTCACATATCCTAAGCACCGAGAACAGTTTGTAAAAGACTTTTTAAAAAGACTCTGGCGGAGCAAGTGATTAGAGGTTACCAAATGCTCAAGAATCGAGCTGCTGGATTTACATTTTCCGTTAGACAGTCGCGCGGGATAACTTTCGGAAACGTGATTGTATAGATTACAGTTTATATGACCTGTGTAACCAGCTCCACGATAGTAGGTGGGTCGGTTGACATACATAGAGGTGATTCTCGAATCATCTGTTGACTGAAGGAAACTATCCGACGCCGGTCAGAAGAGATAGCCTTCCTTAGGGCTTTGCGCAATCTATCCTTCACGATATAAGCTAACCGATTAGGAACGTTAACAGCACATATCCTTCACTTGTGAGTAAGAAAACAACAACAAAACCATGTTCCTTGAGGGCAACTCATTTAGCAGAAATGTGCATATACGAAGCGAATCTAGGTGTCAGTGAACATGTTTCTTTGGTTCATATCTATACGGTGGAAAATGAATGGAGCGAAATGTCTGAAAATCGTTGCAAAGAAAGTCTTTTCAAATGATGAGTTACAGGAGTCACGGTACATTTCGAATTCATTAATTAAGTGATATCATCGTGATAGTTTTATACGGTGGCATATAACCAACCTGGATAGAAACCTTGGGGTCAAGACTGTT